GAAGAGAGACAATCGATTTTCTCCCGAGGTTCACGTGCTTGCCAACACGCTACGTCCCCGTTGTGTCGACCAACACTTGGTGGTTCGGCGGCTAAGAGGTGTTTCACAAACCTCGTCCACACGATAGGACACCGCAAGAACCGACCCACACGTGAGGTAACTCAATGACACGAGCAATTTACTAGAGTTACCTTTCGGCACTCCGCCGGGGAAGGTACAACTCCCCTCACAATCACCGAAGGCGGCCACGAACAATCACCAACTCGTGCCGATCCTTCACCGCTGCTCCAACCGTTCTAGGTGGTGGCAACCACCAAGAGAAACAAGCGAAATCCATGCAGCAGAACACGAATACCAAGTGCCACTAGATGCAATCACTCAAGCAATGCACTTGGATTCTCTCCCAATCTCACAATGATGATGGATCAATGATGGAGATGAGTGGGAGGGCTTTGGCTAAGCTCACAAGGTTGCTATGTCAATGAAAATGTGCAAGAAGAGCCCTTGAGCGGCCATGGGGCTATAAAAGAGCCCCCATCAAATAGAGCCGTTGTACCCCTTCATGGGCAAAACACGCCTCGACCGGACGCTCCGGTCATACCGATCGGACGCCGGCCCTCGGCGTCCGGTCGCCCGATGGACGCCACGCGTCACCACTTCAAACGCTGTTTCGCCGATTTCAACGGCTTACTGAAAGCTGACCGGACGCTCCGACAAATCGACCGGACGCTGAAGCCCGGCGTCCGGTGCTTTTCAAAGAAGCTCCCAAGGCATGTTTTTTTCGGACGGACGCGTCCGGTCCACCTTTGACCGGACACGACCAGCGTCGGGTGCTCAACTCTACCCATTGTGTTGCTCTCACGGCTCGACCGGACGATAGCCTTTTTCAGCCGTCCGGTCATTGAGTGACTCAAATGTCCGGTCGAGAGACCGACGCCAAAGATCATTTCGACCAACTCCATTTCAACTCTAACTTCTTCACCCTTGCTCAAATGTGCCAACCACCAAGAATTTTGCATCCGGTGCAATAGAAAAAAGACATTCATTTTTTTTTCCAAAAGTTGAATCCACCCTCATAAGCTTCGGGCGGGAGGGAGAGAGGGACCCAAACCCATCTCAACCCTGCAAACACCTTGTGCACATGTGTTAGCATATTTTCACAAATATTTTCAAGGGTGTTAGCACTCCACTAGATCCTAAATGCATATGCAATGAGTTAGAGCATCTAGTGGCACTTTGATAACCGCATTCCGATACGAGTTTCACCCCTCTTAATAGTACGGCTATCAATCCTAAATGTGATCACACTCTCTAAGTGTCTTGATCACTAAAACAAAATAGCTCTTACAAATTATACCTTTGCCTTGAGCTTTTTGTTTTTCTCTTTCTTCTTTCCAAGTCGAAGCACTTGATCATCACCATGCCATCATCTTTATTATGCTATGATCTTCATTTGCTTCACCACTTGGAGTGTGCTACCTATCTCATAATCATCTTGATAAACTAGGTTAGCACTTAGGGTTTCATCAATTAACCAAAACCAATCTAGAGCTTTCACCAACGCTGGTGTCTTGTATTGTGCGTGCATGCTCTGTTCTCCCTTCTTCTTCTAGTGGGTGCTCGGCCATAATGTGTGGGGACGGACAACGCTTGTTCGTGGTCGGCATGGCTAGTGAGTGCTCAGCAACACTAGCGGGTGCTCGGCAAGACTGGTGAGTGGTTAACTCACCTGAGCCGGTGATCCTCTGGGCCAACAGCTTACATATGTGGATGCATGGGTCGCACCATCAAATTTCAATTATACATGTGAAACTACGAAGAATGCAGAATGGATTGGGTTTAATGAGTAATATCAAAAGTTATTCTATTCTTTGGTAAATGCATATGTTTCTTGTGTTGATTTCTTGATACACTAGTTGAATATTGTTTTCTTGCCAAAAGTTAAAATTGATAGACTTTGACTAACTTCGTAGGCGATGTCATGCGTAAGAGGCGGTTGATGATGCTGATTGTCAACAAGGACATTAACATCACTCCTTTTTTGTGCGCAAGCAGAAATGATGTGTGTTTCTTGATTAGGACATCCTTTTCTGATAATTACAGAACCTTTTCGGCTCTATTTCTTGTCATGTATGACTGTGAAACATGTTGGCACATCATAATGGAATCACAAAAGATGTATAAATCATAAATTAATGCTTATGCGCTAGCCCTAGCTAGCTAACCTAGTTTGATAAAGAGCATTACATAATCATGGATATTTTTTCAAAATATCTTTCCCAGTATCACTGGGTATACACACACATATATATCCAGAGTCAAGTGAACAACTGACAAATAATGTCAAGGAAAATGTCCTTGCATTGCAAATGCTGTTGATGCGGTAACTGATCAAAATGAACATAATACCATCTTCTTGGAATATCAATCCATTCCTAGTGACATGCAGCTAAGTTTCGATTCCTGAACTTCCAATCGCTTTACGTCCAAAGCCATCCTTCACCTGACCTGAGAGAAAAGAACACAAACTAATATATATCTTAATCACCAGTGCAAAGACAAGACTAGCATACAGCATGATGCTACCTTCACTTAGCAGGAAGATTAAAATTTGATGTAGACCAGTGAATAAATAAACACCCTAACAAACAAAAGGACATGGATCAAAGACAGTCAATACATGCATGCCCAGAACCCTGAAGATTGGGCTTTGGAGAGTGAGAGAGGGCAAAAAGGGGAAAAGCAAAAGGGACAGAGAGGCAAAGCCATCTCTCTCACACCCATATACAAGTATGTATAGACTATAGTAGTACAAGTACTGTATTAAAATCCTGACCTAGACAGCTTCCAAAAGGCAAAGGAAAAAAGAGTGAGACAGCAAGGCCTAGACGTGGACGTTTCCTAGTTCTTCTGACACACACACACACACCAGCAGCTGTGTCAGTCAGGACATGCAGGAGGTCAGTGTACATTGGCCGGCCGTCTGTGATCCATCTCTCACCATCTCTACCTCAATTCATGTGCCCTGTGGCCTACGTACACACCTTGTGCCAATAGTACACCACACCACAGACAGTATATCCCTATCATCTGATCATCTTCAATCTCTCTTTCTCTCTGTCTCTGGAAGATCTCAGAGTAGTACTATGGCGGCTCTCTCTGCAACTCCCTGCAACTAATGATGAGGAGAAAAAAGTATTGTCAAATCACATGGACTTTCAAACTTTAAAACATTGTTTAGTACATTTCCTATGGAAAACACTCAATTCAATTGGTCCAATAATTTCGTTGAAATAATATCTTGTATGCATGCCACTAGTTTATTTATTCTATAAAATATCACATATATATATAATGTCTTGGTTAACACAAGAGGAAAACATATCACAGCTTGTTGGGTGTGTAGCTTTCATTAAGCAAAATCATTGTGCTAGTGGAAAATAAAGAGTTCCTTTTCTTTTTGTACAATCTTGTGAAATAAAAAATGAGGGTGAGGTTACTGTAACCAATTTTCCAATGAAAAGTAGATCTATTTGCAATCCAATATAGCTAGGTGTGTCAATTGAGCCTGTAATAACAGGACATAAAGGTCCACATGCACAGTTGATATTTGAGGGCACAATCACTCCTACTAGTACACACCAGTCCTTTCTGATTGTGTTGTGTGCTCAAATTGGTCACCCAAGGCCAAAACTGTACAGATGGGTCTGCACACCAAAAATGCTTTTGCATTGCTTCATGAGAGAGAAAGTAAGAGAGGGCCGGAGAGAGAGAAGGGGGAGAGAAAAATCTTGTAGATAGCTAGAAATCTAGAGAGAAAATAAAAAGGGGAAAGTGGGGGGAAAGTTGTGGGGGCTGTGTGAGGATAATATTGGAAGTGGGAGGTGGGTATCCCTCCTCCACTGTCCTTTTTCATCTCTCTCTCTCTCTCTCTCTCTCTCTCTCTCTCTCTCTAAAAGACTTTGCTAATTGGCCTGCTAGCTGGTCTCCATCCCCCGGCTTCTTTCCCTTTCAGCTGGAGGAGATAGATGAGAGAGGACTGGAGGAAGCAGGAAGGAGGAGAGGGATATATAGGCCGGTGTCTTCTGTAGAGAGAGATAGAGAGCAAAAGGGAAATAAAGGAACTCTTGCAGGCACTCAACACTGACATGAGTGATCCAATGCTCTTGATACCTTGGTACTCTTACATCACCCTTCTTCTTCTTGCTCATCCCTCCTCCCCGGCCCTCTTCCTCGCTCCTCCTGCCTCTTTCTAGCTAGGATCTTCAACAACCCTTCTCTCTCTAATTCTCTATCCCCATATAGAGAGAATAGAGGAGAGAGAGAGGTGAAGGCAGGCAGCTGATTTTCTTATGTGCAAGAGACAGGACAGCACGTGCCGGAGCTCATGAGTTGCATCAATTCCTGAGGTAAGTGACATACAGAAATAGATAGAGATGAGAGAGATGGTGAGGAGGAAGCTGTGCTGAGTGATGTGTATGTGTGCGTGCTTGTGTTGACATCTGTGCACCCCGTTTCTTTGTTAAATCACTTGATGAAGATGGATGCCTGCATTTTCCTTTCCTTATTAATATATATTTTTTCTGATACTGATGCCTATTCCACATCTCTCTCATGCTCTCTCCTCTTCTTCTAGATATAGCTAGTGCTAGCTAGCTTAGTATTCTTCCTTTTCCATGCATATATACATGCTGGCATCCTGCACCCTACATCTCTCTCCCCCATGCAACCTTCACTCTTCATGGATCCAATTTCACTTCTCACTCCACATACTCCTCAAATCATTGCTTTGGTATTTTTTTTTTTTTGTTTCTTCCCTCGTTCCTTCCTCTGAGGTGCGTGTTAACCTCTTCGACTCGTGTTCTTGGATCCTCTTTGCAGGCAAAACCACAAGCTTGTGATCTTGCACTCATCAAGCTATTAGGTGAGGAGGAGAATTTCGTTCACAAGAGCACAAAGCCAAGGTTTTTGTGGGCGTCGTCGACGACGACCTATAGGCGATGGCGGCGTACTACCACGGCGGCGCCGGCACGGACATCCAGGCCAGCACCAACGGCCTGCAGACGCTGTACCTGATGAACCCGAGCTACGCCGGCTACGCGGACGATGGCGGCGCGTCCGCGCCGGGGGCGACCAACATGATGCTCCTCAACTCGGCGGTGACCACCATGACGCCGGCGTCCTTCGCGCACCACCACCACCACCAGCAGTCTCCGTCGTCGGCCGCGCAGCAGCAGCACTTCGTCGGGATCCCGATCCAGGCGCCGCCGTCGAGCTACAACCCGTGGACCCCGGCGGCCACGGCCGCGGACATGTCGTCGCCGCCGCCGCAGGCGCAGACTCCCGGCGCCGCAGCGGCTGGGGTCAGCGCCGTGCTCAGCCTGTCGTCCCGCGAGGCAGCGCCGCAGCCGGTCACGGTGGCCGGCCCCGGCTGCACCGACGATGGCAAGTACCACCTGGGCGTGTCGGCCACGTCGCAGGGGCAGATGGTGATGAGCTCCAAGTACCTCAAGGCCGCGCAGGAGCTGCTCGACGAGGTGGTGAGCGTCAGCAAGGGCGTCGAGGACGCCAACAAGACGACCAAGAGCCTGGCGGCGGTGAAGAAGAAGGAGGACTCGGAGGGCGTGTCCGGTGGCGGCACCGATGACGGTTCCGGCGCAAAGAGCGGTGGCGGCGCGGCGGAGATGTCCACCGCGGAGCGGCAGGAGCTGCAGATGAAGAAGAGCAAGCTTATCAACATGCTTGACGAGGTCAGTAGTATATATAAATATAGCACAGTTTATGGCTTCAATTCATACTACTTTACTAAGATTAATTTCACAAGTTATTTTCCATTTGATGTCTTTCTCTCGATCGTGTTCAAAAATAAGATATTTTTAGAAAACCTGTTTTTAATTGCTGTTGATGAGGCCTTGAGGGTCCTTGATTTTTCATGAAAGTTTTTTGTTATGCTGCCTCAAATTTGACAGGGAGAGATATTTTGTCATGCTTTTGCTGTTTGCTTGCTTCTACAGTCTAAGACAGTGTCACAGTGTTATGCATTAAAAGGCTAGGAACCATTTGCCTTTCGGTAATCTTTGTTATGCTGTTTCTTTTTCTGAAAGATGAGTGACACAAGTTGTTGGAACAGTGCATAGCTTTAATTTTAATTTGATGGACATATATCATCAGACTTTTCTCCCACTTTAAAATCCTTCTCTTAATCAAGCATGCATGCTGTATCAACTTGCTGTAGTAGTATCAATACCAATTATTGTTCCCCTACTTAATTCTGTGATTTCCACCTCGCAGAAAACACTAGTTATTATGTGGTTTAATTATTCCCAGCTTACATAGTTAGATATTCTTATTAGTACACCTTATCACCACTTAGGTTCTGTTCTTTTTTTTTCCTTTTGAAATGTCTTAATTTCATTTTAAGCGTATGGGGTAACAACTAAGAGGTTCGGTTCTAATAGTAAAATGAAAGCAATAACATTTTTTTTGTGTGTGTGTGTGTGGAAGAGAATGAAAACAATATAATCCAAGACAAAGTGCCATATAGAAGTTATAGAGTATATATATGAGCATATTTAACTAATAACATAACAAGTGGCAATGAAAACCATATCCTCTACTATCAATATGTACAACGAAATATATGGCAAGTGGAGCTCTTTCAGCAAACAAAATAATCCTTAAGAGATAAGATTGGATCGTGCATGATTGCGCAAATAAATTAAACTCAACTACTTCCATTCTTTTGGTTGTACTTTGTCCATGCCAGTACAAACAAGCTTCAATTCGTTGCTTCATCAAATGTGTGCCTCTTTTTGTCTGCGATAGCCTGCATCATGAGTGTACACCGTACTGCATGCGAGCTAAATGCGAGTACTACCAAATACCAATTTTTATTTTCTTTATTAAAAGAAAAACATAAATTCACTCTCTCTTTATTTTTTCCCCGTGTCTTTTATATATACATCATTTCCGTGCATGAGTAAACATATCATATCAGGAGCTGTGTAGCGGTTGCGATTGCGATTGCACCGATCAGCATTGATAGAGTTTGTTGACGAACAGTTGGTTGGATTCGATGGATCATCACTGACTAGCTACTTAATCAGCTAGCCTACTAGCAGCAGTAGGCCAGTAGCTAGCTAGCAGTAGCAGTAGCACGCCCTGATTAATGAATTGAAGTGGTCAATGACTGACTGACACTGTTGTGTGCGCATGGCGCGATCGATGTCGTCGACAACGACAAATGGCAGGTGGAGCAGCGGTACCGGCAGTACCACGGGCAGATGCAGGCGGTGTCGTCGTCGTTCGAGGCGGCGGCGGGCACCGGGTCGGCGCGGACGTACACGGCGCTGGCGCTGCGCACCATCTCGCGGCAGTTCCGGTGCCTGCGGGACGCGATCGCGTCGCAGGTGCGCGCGGCGAGCCGGGCGCTGGGCGAGGACGCGGACGCCGCCGTCGCCGCCGGGGGCCGCACCGTGATGTCCCGCCTCCGCTACATCGACCACCAGCTCCGGCAGCAGCGCGCGCTGCAGCAGCTCGGCATGATGCAGGGTGGCGCCTGGCGGCACCAGCGCGGCCTCCCCGAGCGCTCCGTCTCAATCCTCCGCGCCTGGCTCTTCGAACACTTCCTGCACCCGTGAGTTCTCCCGTTCCATCTCATCATGCATCTCATCCTCACTGCAGTAGCCAGCTTGGTAGCTCATCATGAGCCCTTGTACTCTCCCTCCTGTGGACGGACTACGAGAGGTGGTTGGTGGGCACGTAGGGCCTGCAATGCAAGCCCTTCGAGCTAGCTACTCCATTGCTCTTTGTTTGGCCCTTCGCTTGCTTGCTTTCGTGCCCATGGCGCCATGCATGCAGCCTCTCACCTCATCGTGTCCGCATCTAATTGGTCCGCATGGATCCCTGTGTCGTCACGCAGATACCCCAAGGATTCGGACAAGATCATGCTCGCCAAGCAAACCGGGCTCACCAGGAGTCAGGTGGGTAAAGCTGTGAATCTTTCTTTCTTCTCCTGCTAATCAATTTCACTGTTTTACTGACTGTGTAAATTAGCTTTAAAAACTTGTTCTTTAATTCCTGTTAGGTGTCGAACTGGTTCATCAACGCGAGGGTGCGGCTGTGGAAGCCCATGGTGGAGGAGATGTACCTGGAGGAGACCAAGGACCAGGACGGTGGCGGCGGCGGCGGCAACGACGAGGGGAAGTCCGGTGGCGGCGGGATCAAGAGCGGCGACACTGTCGACGGCGTCACGCCGAGGGCGGACGCCATGTCCAAGTCCGCGGTGCGCGTGGGAGGCGGCGGGGCGGCGGAGAGCGCATCCACCAACAAGGGCATCCATGGCTCCTCCCTGCTCGAGCTCGGCGGAGGCGGCGACCACCAGCAGTCTCACGCGGGGTTCTACGATGATGATGAAGACGACGGCGACGAAGCGATGGGGCGGAGGCTCAAGAAGGCGCGCGGGGACGAGCCGGCGCCGGCGTTCCACCACGTGCACGACATGGCCGCGCTGCACGCGCAGGCCGCGGCGGCCGCGAGGCAGCAGCACGAGGAGGTCAGCCACCGGGAGCTGCTCATGAAGTTCATGGAGAGCGGCGGCGGCGGTGCTGGCGCGAGGGACCACCACCACCACCACCACCAGGACGGCGGCGGAGGGTACTCGCTGTTCGCGCCGGGGCCGTACGGGCAGTTCGCCACGGAGCCCGCCGCCTTCGCGTTCGCCGGGAACGGCGGGGTGTCGCTGACGCTCGGCCTCCCGCACGGCGCCGGAGGCAGCGCCGCCGAGCAGACCGCGTCGTTCCTCATGGGCAGCACCACGGCCGGCGCCGACAGCGGCAGCCACGGCGGCGCAGGCGGCGGCTACGACATGAACATGCAGAGCACCAAGTCGTTCGCGGCGCAGCTCATGAGGGACTTCGTGGCCTAGCTCGTAGGACACGTAGCATAGCAGTCGTCAGTCCACGCAAATTAATCAATCTCTCCATCGATTAATTAATTTAGAGCTTGTATAGAAATAAAGGGTTGTTCAAGCCTAAATATGCTTGCATGTATAAAGCAGTTAAGCTTGGACTATAGGTTTTGGGAATGTAAAGATGGGATAAATATCATGGGGGCGATGTATATAGGTATAGGATGATAGGTAACTAGTTGATACCCAAACATTGTACAAGATTTTATATGTAGATCATAGGGATTGGGGGGTATACAGTAAAGTATGTGAAAGGGTATATTGGAACTGGACTTGGAAGTATATGTGGTAGAAGTTGGCCAACTAGTATTATCTGCAGTAATTCAATATTTGTTTTGCTTACTACTGTAAACATAGCACATTCCAACTCATTGGCACCACCACCTTGTGCTGCTGGATGACATTGTGGATAACTATGCTCCAGTAGAATCAAATGATCTACCTCTGAATGTTGACAGGCAGCAGCAGCAGTAACACCTAACAACACAATATCCTGATCAGAGCAATGACACAGAATCTGCTCAGATAGTTGTTTTTTTTTTTTAAGATCCGAGATGATTACTGGCTTATATTAATAAGATAGGAGAAGAGTTACATGCGCAAGATGCGCCTACAAGCACCAGAACCAGCAGATTGCTGGGCCTGGACGATGACTAAGACTGTTAAGATTGCCAAGGAGTGTCCTATAATAGTGCCTTCTCCTGATATGTTCAGCAGCCATTCAGCACTTGCAGACCATTCAGCTCAGATAGTTTTTCACTAGTCATGCTAACTGAGTCTGATGTGAGGAGACTTATAACAAAGGTGGTATTCCATCTTTTTTGTTGTGTGAAATATACCAACCCAAGAATTTCCATTCTGAATAACAGTACAAAAAATCCACTAATATATGACCAAACATGGCTAACTAACAAACAAACTAAGATCATACAAACAAAACACTGCCTAATGATCACTCTGGCCTTCTTTTCCTTCTTCCATTTCTGCGATCTGGTCTCATGAAGGATGCCACATTTGCACAGATTAAGATGTCTCAGAAAAGCAGGTGGTGCACTGGCATATTGGTGATGCTAGTCATGGCAGAAGTTAGCTGAGCTCCTGCTCTTAGCGCTTGGAAGATGCTTGAGGGTTTGCTCTATAGTCTCATTAGATGCGGCCTGTTGCTGGGATGACAGGTTGGCGCACCAAACCAAGAGGCATGTTCATGTTGTTAGCGTTCTCTGCCACTCCACTGCCATCACAATTTGGCTCCAGTAAGCGCACAAGCGATAGAAAGATTTCCATTCTGGTTACGTCCCGGTTCGCCTGCACAAAACAGCCTCAATCAGTAAGGAAATCAACAAATCAACAGCAACATAAATCCATAGAAAAAAAAGTATTCATCAGCATAATCTCATAACTTTGGATTTCCATTCTGGTTACTGTTCATTACTTTAGATTTTGAACTGAAAGAATCCTAATTATCCAATTTAGCTGTATTACCTCAACAGTAAATCTTGCCCAGATTTTACTTTTGCGCATTTCCATCACACCCCTCAAGATAGTCAATCCAAGTCCTTTGATGAAATCAGCAATCTCCAAGAAGATTCCTCTGTCCTCGCAAAGCATCTGCAGAGGGAACCAAGTCATCACAATTACTTGTGCTCTGGTGAAACATCATAGTACAATAAACAATAAGTAGTAGACTAGTCATTACCTCCACAAGCATCTGACGAGGTCGGTCAAGATCCTCAACAATGATTGGACATGTCATAGACTGAGAGCCGACATCGAAAGCCCAGGTTGCCCCACCTTCAAAGTAGTCTTTCCAAAGGGGGCCATTTTCACTACCAAGTATCTGGTTGAAGAAGACTTTGTATTAAGCACATTTTCCAACTATGGAAGATTAAGTAAAATATTTTGAGATTCCCCCTTGTCAGGTAAGCTATATCATCACTATCTATCTTAGACATATCAATAACCCAAAAGGCCAAAACTAAGACTGTAAAGATTGTGCATACCTTAGACTCAGTAGAGTCCTTGAGCTTGTCTGCATTCTTCGTCACACTTTGTAAGAAAAGCATGTGCTTAACTGTCTTCTCCAACAAACCATCAATGCTACACTATTGACATAAATTTGCAATTGTTAGTACACTATTGTAGATAGTTTGCAGATAAGATATATGATTAAAACTTTCAAATTATCATCAGAGAATTCATGCAAGAGCATACCTTTGCCCCATTCGGTACAAGCTCACGTAGCTCTTTAATACGGTCCTGTATAAGTTGCCGGTCCTTAGGTCGTGGCTTAGGACTTTCTTCTTGTCGAGATCTCTTGCGATTTGCCTTGCTTGGAGTATCAAGACCTTTGCTATTAGAAGCCGAAGCACTTTCACATTTCATGTTCTGACCGCTCTCAATCCAAAGACGTATCTGAGATTTGTGCATTCCATTATTTTGGGAAAGACAACCCTCCTCAGATTTATCAAAGAGACATGGCTGTTTAACAAACTGTGCCAATTCGTGCTTAATTAGCATGGAAGGCATGCCGGAGGACTCACATCTCTTCAAGTCTACTGAACCAAGATGAGATGTGCTAGGAACATCCGTCAATGCAGTCTTGCAAGAAGCACTATCATCAGTACACTGTTTTCCAGTTGGATTGACATTTGAGATGACAGCATCCAATAGCTGATCAGTATCAGTTAGTGATAAGATACCAGAATAGTGAAGCTCATTGTCTAGTGAACTGAAAAGGGGTGAACTATTGAGATATATTGATGACTCAGGGACATCTCTATCTGAATTCTGAGACTCTGTACCACTCCAGGTGACCAAATCAGCACCAACATTGTGGGAGAACTGATGAAATTCAGAACCAAACATATTAAACAAGTCATTATCTGCAGCAGGCTCCACGAGCAACGAGGAAGCTCTCTCAATGGGCATTCCTGCCTCACATCCATCCCTGTTCTTCATTCTCTGCGTGCTGACATTAGCACTTGGATCACTAAATCTATTAATCTTTTGGTCTTGTCGGACATTGTTTGACCTACTCAATAGATTTTCTTGGTCCATGTTGAAACTGTTAGAAACCTGACCATCAGATTCAGAAGTTCGAACTGAAGGAGTTTGAAATGGCCTACTTTCAGGATTCTCCATTTTCTTAGCCAATTCAGAAGATTGGGGAACCTTGAACGGAACTAGAGACTGTTTCTGCTGCAATGTTCCTGATGCGTGATCCAATATTTGACTCGATACACTGGTAGATAAGTTGGCTCTGCTTGCTCTAGCACCTACAGGGAGAAAATCAAAATTCCCAGGACCATTTATATCATTGGATACCACATATCTTCCATGATGCATATTGATGTTTGTATTTTCACAGACAGAAGAGTCATGACACACAAGGGATTTTAATATGATATCTCTTGCCATTGCCAAATCTGCTGTTGAATGTGCATTATTATTCAACTGTAACTGCCCAATGTTGTTCATCAAGAGTGACTGATTTTTAACTGATGTCAAGCTTGGGGAGGTCAAACTTGAGTTCATACCAACACTCCGTAAATTTCTTCCAAATTGGGTCTCGCAGAAGGATGCTTGTTGTATAAACCGAAGATCAGGCTCAGCATAGACAGTGTGCTCTCTAACAGGGTGACCATTCTGTTGCACAACCTTAAGCAAAGATGCATTCAGCAATGCATGTGGCGGTGTGCCAGTTGACACAGTTGCAGTATCAGGACGTGACTGACCATGCTGACTTGAACTGTTCTTAGCTGAAGCAGATACAGCCATGCTTGAACGGTTGTTTAGATGAGAACACAACTTCTTTGCAAACATCACAAAATTTGTGTTTTCCATAACCTGCCATAAATCAGCTGATTATTTCCACTTTCAAATATTTAGAGAGCAAGCAAGATAACCCTAATACCAACCATCACAGGGAAGTTGAAACAATGATTTCGAGATCTTTTATGTTCTTCGCAACAATTTCCAGCACTAAGCACAACAAAAGGATACAATGTATAGTAGCAAATTTTTATGTGCCAAGGTTTCTAGATGTTCAACTCCGCCTATGGTGGGGCGCCTTTGGTGTCCCAGCAAAGCAGGTCCCAAACCCTGGTAAAGGAGGAGGGTTGTGTTAGGTGCGGCGAGCCAATGTAAAAACTAAGCCACTTTTATGCAGATGAAACTCAAAAGAATCCCGTTGGGGCGTAACCCTCTTAGCAACGCGCCATGTCGGAACCCGGGTATGGTGTTAGATGAGCAAGGGCCGGGTCGTCACCCCCGTGACGCGCCATGTCGCGATCTGGATATGGTGTCAAGTGAGCAAGGATCGGGTCGTCGCATCCTTAGTGGCGCGCCACATCGGCGCCCGGGTGTCGTGCAAAATGAGCAAGGGTCTTCACACCTACCTCGGCGGGTGCGAAGGGTAAAGAAGCTAATCGAACCAACTAGGATCCGTTTAGGTAGCTAGAATGTAGGGTCCCTTACAGATAAGTTAAAAGAGTTGGTGGACACAGCGGTTAGGAGGCGTGTAAATATCTTATGCATCCAAAAGACTAAATGAAAGGGGCAGAAGGCGAAGGAGGTGGACAATACCGGCTTCAAGCTCTAGTACACAGGGACAACTTCAAATAAAAATGGAGTAGAAGTTTTGATTAATAAGAGCCTCAAGAATGGTGTGGTGGAGGTGAGAAGGCAACGTGATAGGATCATCTTAGTTAAACTTGTCATTGGTGATATGGTCTTAAACGTAATTAGTGCGTATGCCCCCCAAGTAGGCCATGATGAGAGTGCTAAGCGGCTTTTCTAGAAAGACTTAGATCGCTTGGTTAGAATTGTCCCTAGTAGCGAGAAGCTCTTTATATGAGATGATCTTAATGGTCATGTAGGTACATCAAGTGCAGGTTTCGAGGCGGTTCATGGGGGTTTCGAACATGGTAGTAGGAACCAGGAGGGAGAGTAAGTCTTAGACTTCGCCATAGCTTTTGATCTGATGATAGCTAACACTTTCTTGCATAAGAGACAGTCCCATTTAGTGACATTTAGTAGCGATCAGTACTCTAGTCAAATCGATTTTGTCCTTACAAGAAGGAGGGATAAACGAACATGCGTGGACTGTAAGATGATACCTGGAGAATGTGTGGTCGCTCAACACAAGCTGGTGGTGGCCGACTTTTGCTTTCTGATGCAAGCTCATGGGAACAAACAAGCTAGGGTTGCTAGAACGAAGTGGTGGAATTTAGAATGGAGGCATCAAAGGTCTTTAATGAAAAGGTCATTGAAGAGGGCCCTTGGAAGGATGAAGGCGATGCAAACAACATGTGGAAGAAGATGGCAACATGCGTTCGGAAGGTTGCTTTAGAGGTGCTTGGAATGACCAAAGGGAGTGGATGCGACTCGAAAGACACTTGGTGGTGGAATGAAGATGTGCAAAAGGCTATTAAGGAAAAGAAGGAGTGCTATAAGCGCTTGTATTATAACAGATGTGCAGACAACATAGAGAAGTACAAGGTGACAAAGAAGACTGCAAAACGAGCAGTGAGTGAGGCAAAAGGGATAGGCCTATGAGGACATTTACCAACGTTTGAGTACGAAGGAAGAAGAGAAGGACATTTATAGGATAGCTAGGGCTCGCGATAGGAAGACAAGAGACTTCAACCAAATCAAGTGCATAAAGCATGAGAGGGAGCAGCTCTTGGTGAAGGAGGATGAGATCTAACATAGATGGCAAGAGTATTTTGGGGAGAACGAGAACACCACCGTTTAGCTGGACGACTCGTTTGATGACACTAACAGGCGCTTTATGCGGAGGATTCAAAAATTGGAGGTCAGAGAAGCCTTGAAAAGGGGCAAAGCGATGGGACCTAATGGTATCCCAATCAAGGTGTGGAGATGTCTCGGAGATATAGCTATAGTATGGCTAACCAAGATGTTCAACAATATCTTCCAATCAAACAAGATGCCCGAGAAGTGGAGAAGAAGCATATTGGTACCAATCTACAAGAACAAGGGAGATATCCAAAGTTGTACTATTTATCAGAAAATTAAGTTGATGAGCCATACTATGAAGTTATGGGAGAGAGTCATCGAGCAGCGCCTGCGAGAAACGACGCAGATATCAACAAACCAATTTGGATTCATGCTCGGAAGGTCAACCACAGAAGCAATCTTCTTAATAAGACAAGTTATGGAGCGGTTTAGAGAGCACAAGAAGAACCTCCACATGGTTTTCATTGACTTAGAGAAGGCTTATGACAAGATACCAAGAAATATTATGTGGTGGACTTTGGACAAATATAAAGTCCCATCAAAGTACGTGACCCTCATCAAGGACATGTACAACAATATTGTGACTAGTGTTCGAACAAACGATGGTAACACAAATTACTTCCCGATTAAAATTGGACTTCATCAAGGGTCAACCTTAAGCCCGTATCTCTTTGCCTAGGTAATGGATGAGGTTACCAGGAACATACAAGAGGATATCCCTTGTTGTATGTTGTTCGCTGATGATGTAGTGTTAGTGGACGAAAGACAGGCGGGAGTAAATAGAAAACTAGAGTTATGGTGGCAGACCCTTGAGTTTAAAGATTTTAGATTGAGTAGAACTAAATCGAATACATGAGATATGACTTTGGCAGAGCTGCACAGGAACAGGGAGATGTGAGTTTGGAAGGTTAGTAGTGCCTAAGAAGGATACCTTTTGGTATCTGGAATCGATGCTACAGAGGAATGAAGATATTGATGCGGACGTTAGCCATAGAATCAAAGCAGGGTGGATCAAATGGCGACAAGCTTCTAGCATTCTCTGTGACAAGAGAGTGCCACAAAAACTAAAAGGTAAGTTTTATAGAACGGCGATTAGACCAGCTATGTTGTATGGAGCAGAATATTGGCCTACAAAAATTCGACATGTTCAACAACTGAGTGTTGCAGAAATGCATATGTTGCGATGGATCTGTGGTCACACAAGAATGGACCGAGTTCGGAATGATGATACACGTGATCGCCTAAAGGTAGCACCAATTGAAAAAAGACTTGTCCAACATCGGTTGAGGTGGTTTGTCCATGACCAAAGGATACCTCCAGAGGCATCAGTGCATTGTGGAGTCATAAGCCAAGCTAATAATATGAGAAGAGGTAGAGTAAGACCGAAATTGACATAGGGGAAGGCAATAAAAAGAGATTTGAAAGTTTAGGATATACCTAGAGATCTATGTTTGAATAGGGGTGCTTGAAAAGCAGCTATTGAAGTGTCTGAACCGTGACTTGGGGCTCTTGGTGGGTTTCAACTCTAACCTACCCTAACTTATTTGTGATTGAAAGGCTATGTTGTTGTTGTAGTTGTAAGGTTTCTAGAGGTTCCATCAGGAATGAGGATACGAGAGATGTATGTCATGAATTTCACCATGAATTTGCAATGACATTATGAAATTTGCAGTAGCATAAAGATAGGTTTTCAGATTTGGACCAGCATGGCCCAAACATCGTGTCTTGTAGTTTCCATATCCAAAATTTTTAATGACATGTACTCATTCAGCAATGAACTATTGTTTTTTTCCCACCTTCCACAACCATCCATAGATGGAGAATTACTTTTCCATAGCCTAGTGTGATAGTTATATTCTTTACATAGAAATTTAAACTGATAGCGTTCAACAACTTTGACGAATAATTCAACAATTTCTCTACTTTTCTAGCATGATCTAGAGCTTTGTGGCCTTACCAAACCAGTAGAGCCTAATTGTAGGACACCCCGTGGCAGCACAGGAATGATCGCAATAGTCTGCACAGCAAAAGTTCAGAATGAGGTCCAGAAGCACATGGCGACTATATACCTTTTACCATTTCAGTTCTACCCACCTGGATGCCAACTCTGAACTGATTGTTCATCTCAGCAGCAACCTATGAAATTGGTAAACATGGTGTAAGATCTTGAAACCCGGGTTAAGAAAACACAACACCCAATTGGATAGAATATAGTTAAAGACAAACTTGGAGTAAGATCTTCTCTCTTTTTTTTTTCACAATCATAATTTACAACAGGTGCTTGCGTCATTTGCCACTATTTTTGGTCCAGTGTGAGCAGACCAAAATTAAAGCAGGTCGCTAACTGACAAAAGTTAAAGTACCCCCACACTGCTTTAAATGAGGTGGCAGCAAAATGGAACCAGACAAAACTGAAATTGGGTTCTCATTTATTTCACTGGGGACATGTTTAGATTGCAAAATTTTGCAATCCTGACACTATAGCACATTTCGTTTGTATTTGACAAACTTTGTCCGATCATAAACTAACTAGCCTCAAAAGATTCGTCTCGTGATTTACGATCAAACTGTGCAATTAGTTACTTTTTTTTTGTGATTTACAACCAAACTGTGCAATTAGTTACTTTTTTTACCTACATTTAATGCTCCATGCATCCATCCAAAAATTGACGTGATGGAGAGAGTGAAAAAACTGTAACTTTGATGTCATCTAAACAAGCCCTGGAGAATTCAGAAGGGGCGAAGCACTCAGTACTGGCCTTACCTCGGAGGAGAGCCCGTGACCATTGGCAGTACCGTGGACGATCCATTGGTGATTGCCACTGAACGCGGCACGGCCTACGATCCTGCCAAAACAAAACACAGGGTATAGCCGCCATGAATCCGATAATCCAAGGAGCAACCTAGGAGCAAGAAGATGGAGTGGCCAAACCAAGAAGGTGAAGATTCTGTCTAACCCAAAAAATGCGGGGAGGAGTAAATAAGAGAAAGAAATGGCTGGGTGCGGCTGCTTTTGCTTACCCTTGTCCGACGACATGAACCTGTGACGCCATAACGTTGTTAACAAGCGAGCAGATGGTGTCAGCAGCAGGAACAGAGCACCCGGCGGCGTCGCTGGGCAGAGATTCAGAAGGCTCAGATCCGACAGGGCATGACGTGTGGCCACAGTAGCCGTCCTCCCGCACCAAATGCCTGCGCATTTCAAGGGGGAAATGAGATTGGATGACAGGAAAATGGGCCGCAGCAGCTAAGCTCAGAGCCCGCCCCCAACTATTCAACCTTAGGAATCTGAAATTTGCAGGAAATTGTTCGATTTTGAGCTCAGATATTCCCATCTTCGAAACTTCGAGCTTCCAGAACAGAGTAGCAACGAAAACTTGACACTTTGGAAAAAGAATGACTGAATGAGCACAAAGACAAAAAAAAAAAAAAAGCTTTCTTACGAGAACGAGCAGGAGGACACCAACGAAGAAAAATGAGCACAATGACAAAAAAAAAAAGCTTAGATTTTTACAAGATTCAGAGGGAGGATGAGCTTAAACACCAAAGAAAAATCTGAGGAAACAGTGGAGGCGGCGGCTTACACAGGGTCGGCGGCTCCGATGGCCTTCCAGAAGACGGCGTAGGACCACCCAATCTCCTCGCACAGCCGTCGCAGCGCGTCCCCGACCGCCATCTCCCGTTTCCCCCCTTCCACCAGCCGCTCCGCTAGAACCAGAACCCCGGCGCTCCCTCCGCGCCAAAACCCTAGCTCCGACTCGGACTGCGAGAGAGACCGCGTCCAGGCGCTCGCTCTAGGCGCCGCGGCAGCTGGCGCGCCCGGCCTGCTTCGCGCGGAGACCGCCGCCCCTCCACGCCGTCGCCTCCGGAGCACCTACACGTCCCCTCGCCGCCGGGGCACGGGCAGCAGCCATCACAGGGCGGGGCCAGTGGTCAGCTCCTTTGCCGCGCGGGGGTCGTCGCCCTCCTCGGGAATACAAGTCGAGCGCCTCTCACAAGCGGCGGCGTTGGCGGCGGCGGCGGCAGCCACGGCGGCTGCGGCGCGCGCTCCTCTCGGATTCAGCCTTGTCGCTAGTTGCCGCCGCCACGGACTGGGACTGGCGGATGCTCTAGCTCTCAGCTGACGGCGGCTCAGCCTTGCTGCTGCTGGCTGCTCTCCACTCTCTATGGTCTGCTCTGCTGCCTCTCCTTGCTTGTGGTGGTGTCACTGTTGTGTGCGTCTCTCGCTCGCTTTCGGCCTCCTTGCTGCTTTGTTTATTTGCCTTCCTTTTTCTTTCCCCCCTTTTTTTTCTGCCTTCGCGGCTCCCGAGACATCCATCATTCCGTCCACAAAGGGTAAAATGGGGAATTACTTTAGCTGCCCTTTTATTCTTAGCAAATCCATGTTTTTTATGACCATAGTCTCTTTTTTCTCTCTCGTAGATGGCTAATCCATGAAAAAAATCAATATAAATAAAACATAGAAAAAATTGGTAACTGGAGTTTATATCAACTACTCCCTCCATCCCAAATTGTAAGTCATTCCAAGAATCTTGGAGAGTCAAAGTTTTTTAAGTTTGACCAAATTTATATAACAAAATAATAATATTTATCATACCAAGTAAGTATCATTAGATTCTTCATTAGTTATATTTTTATATTATACCTATTTGATGTCATCAATCTTTGTGTTTCTCTCTATAATTTTAGTCAAACTTGAAAAAGTTTGACTCTCCAAGATTCTTGGAATGACTTACAATTTGGGATGGAGGGAGTAGAATATAGATTACATATTATATATATGATTATTATGTTAAAAGGGACAGAAACTATAAAGATAAAAAATTTAATTGGATGCACAGAGTAGGTCCTAAAATTTTCACAAACTTCTAAACTCTTGTCTCTTAAAATTGTAGCCCTGTAAGAACACGGGTTAATCAACTTAGTTTAAAAAATCATTAATTAGAGTCCACAAATTTGATCATTTCTAGATAAAAGATGTCATTATTTTTTAATGTAGGGAGTAATCAACAGTTGCACCCTTATCCTTGAGACCTTTTGGAGTTGCCACACTCTTGTTGCATATTAGCTAATGTCACTTTTTGCCGTCCTTTTGTCTTACATTAACCCAAGGCATCAGCATCACGTTAGTTGCCCTTATCTTGCAGTAAACAAGAACAACAGCTGGAAAATCAAGATCACTGTCCCCCTTTCATTCTTGTTCATTTATCTCCAATGCCATTGCCATTTTTATTTCCACCTGTCACAACTTTGTGCAAAGCTTTACACCAGTACAACTGCTAAAAGTTGCTTCAAACAAGACAATATCTGGATAATATAAAGAAGAAAAAAGCAGCACAATTGGAATATGACATGTGTCAGAAACACAAAACTAGAGTATTGCTAGTTGCTTTGTGAATATATAACTAGAGTATTGCTAGTTGCTATATATATATATATATATATATATACACACACTCCTACTACATAGTTGTACACATTCTGATCTACACCCTCATCATACTGCGGAGCATTAGCAATGATGACTATATGGACCTTCAGAAAGGCGTTCTTGGAGTGCAAATTATGCGGTCGTCTATGCTTTTGAGGGGGTGGTGGGACAGTTTAGATTTTTAACAAATACTATATAGTATAGTAGTATTTCTTTTTCTTGCATAAAGGCGAGTGAAAGCAAAGTGTATAGATAAGCCATTCAGATGGCAATGCTGCCTGTGCCTTTGCTAGATTGGAACCTTTTTCAGTAAAGTTGTATTTAGTGAATAATTGAGGCTATGCATGGTAATCATTTGATTAGAACCTAAATTAGGCCAGAGGTTAATACAAGGACAACTTTCTTCCATTTATACGGAAATTGAACTTTTTTGTTTTTCATGGAATTCCTGCATTCAGATTCAGACAAGACCTAATCCTGATGATTAAGTAACTCGTCTATCTCTAATCTCTGTCTACTTTATCTTGCTGGACTTAACTGAGATGCTTGTAGTGGTTAGAGACGCTTGACTAGCAATCAAATTGGAGACACGCATACGTCAATCCATGCTTGCTTACTACTAAAATTCTACTTTTACTAAACGAGATCTTTGTCGTTTGATCTTGTTCACTTTTGGAAGAGGGGTTATAGGCCTTGTTCGGCTGACCTTGAACCCGACTTGATCCGCTTCTTTTTTTCATCCGGAACAGTATTTTTCTCTCACATAAATTCAGCAGCTACAGTGTTTTTCAGCCGGCACAGTAACTTTTTTGGGTCATCAGTTTCTGAAAAGACCATTCTCTCCTTGTACCACTGCTATTGGGCGACACCATGTGATGACGGTTTGTGTTACGTTGCCACCACATTTCGCAAAAGCAACGTGTAAATAATGGGTGATGAGAACATTAGTTTTGTTCAGGTCATCTATCCATAAACTAAAGGGAATATATAATGCATGTATCCCTTTCAAGTTTGATATGATGTGTGCCGAGGTTCAGATAACAAGCTAGCTTTAATTTAGTGCTTGGTGTTCTCTTGACCAGTCCAACACATGTGAAAGGGAGACGTTATCCTAAGCTTGAATCCATTTTTGTGTTGCTTCGCTGTTCAATCACAAACCTAAAAAGCTTTGTGGACACAAAAAATGCCGCCACTTTATTTCAAGAGATGTGGAAAGCAATTGATAGATATAAGAATGCGCACCATATAGTAGTTTGGAATTAGATCATCAACAGGAACGTGTTGAATTTAATTGTTTAATACTAGGTGATGATCAATCCAATCCAAGAAAGATTTTGATGGATCAGTAGTGGATGGTTGCACTTGTTTGTTTGATGTGGAAATTTGAAGAGCACATGTTTAATTTCTTCTAGAAGGTCGAAATCACATCTCACATATAGGGAGAAAGGAACCATATATATAGACCATTTGGTTCAATTAATCTTGTTCTTGGCATAAAGCTAGGTTCCGTCATTATTGACGAATATCAAATAGAGTAGGTACTACCTCCTACCCCAATTACTGGCAGCAGATATTTTTATTTGGGCTCTATTTAGAGCATCTCCAACAAATTCTAAAAAACCACTTGGTAAACTAATGAGTTTTCCAAGTGACTAAAAAAAAGTTAGGAGCATATTTGTTGGCTTGATCCAACACTTTCCAAAATCTCATAAAAGATAGAAGGTAATTTTATATTATGAATCTCGAACTATTTCTAAATCATCCCAACAACTGTTTTATTTTTTGTTCTCTCTTGTACATTTATATCAAGAACCCTATCCTACTTCATATTCTTTCTCACATCCTTTTCCCGATGGGGTCGATTTTTGCAAGTGCTAAAAAAGATTGGGAGGTGGGGTTGGGAGTTTGTTTGAGATGTGTTTTTTTTTCGATCTTGCCAAAATATCAAGGATTGAGATATTGTTTTGGGACTCTTGGAGATGAACTCTAGCTTCAAAACATCTGTAGATTTCTCATCAGAGCCGGGTATTCCTAGCTCGTGGAAGATGTGGACTTGGTGTCATGGATCACAAAACTAGGTCTTATCATTATTAATACCCAATAGATACTGCCTCATATCCAATCTAACTCCAAAAAAATATTGATTTGGAGTTGCTTGCACTATGCCATAATCTGTTTTTTATAAACGGTCAAAAATAATTTCTAGAGGCACTTGGCTCGCCCTCTATCCATGCGTCTCTAGAAATTGTTGATTTCTTGAGGTAGGTATCAAGCCACCCATAGAAATCGATTTCTAGGGGTGGATTGAAATCCAGTCACCCATATAAATCTATTTCTAGCTAGAGGCTGTTGGATTTCGATCGTCTCTAAAAATAGTTTTACATAATTTAAAATTGGGCCCACCAAATAAAAAATGATCCTGAAAGAAGGCCACGAGGTGACCCACTTGTGGTCGCAAGCTAGAAGTCATAGGATTTTCATGCAAAATACGCATGCGTCCGCGGGGACCGAACTCACGTGTTGTTTGGTTCAGAAATGGTAACACAAACGTAAATGCAATGGAAACCCAGCGCTATCGGTAACAAAGTAACAAATTATTAGATTTGTTTGGTTCGATGCTGTAATGTAAATGGAAACCCAGAAGCTACCATTGGAGGCATTAGGGGGTCACGGCGGTGCGGGCCGTGCGGCGCTTGGCTGAGGCCGCAAAAGGACGATGGTCTATCCGGACTAGGCGATTACGCGCGGACGGCAGCGGTATCATTTTTGTATAACAGGGTATCCAATTACGCGGATTGCGGCGGAGATAAAAACAAACACGATTTATCGCAAACACTTCACGCTGTAAACAAATTACGTTACATGGAACTGAACCAAACACTGTGCAGACCGTTGTTGGTCTCACGTGTTTTCGCACAAAATACGCATGTGACCATGAGGAGCAAACTCAATACTGTTGGGCTCACATGTGTTGCTTCCTTACCACTTCACATCAGCGTTACTTGTGACCAAATGGATAATACTATCCTTGTGTATTCACTTTAGTAAATATTATAATAAATATTTGAGACCCAAGATTACTTTAAATGGGAAAAGTTTAAATTGAAAAGATTTTGATCTCGTCCAGTAGGACTAGTACTACAACTTTGGTTTAGAGCATGTCTCCATCCAAGGTTGTTTCAAAATTTAAAGAAACAATGAATTTCAAAATCTAAGAAGTTAAAACAGATTTTTTGGACCATAAA